CTTTATTGTATATATATATATATATTATTTCTTCTACTAGTTAACGTTTTTAAATTTAAGTTTAAGGTGGGGTGTAATTTAATTGTTTTGTTATTGTATTAATGCAACGTAACCTGTGTAAAAAGTACCATCGTTTTTTTTTTTTTTTTTTTTTTTGTGCAGGAAAAATATTCTACGTCCTTGTTAAGTCTTGAGACTTACCTTTTAGCCTGATATGTGCGGAACTGAACAAACATGTTTCGTGTTCAGAGGTATGATATAATAAGAAGCTTGTCCACTGATGTATGGAAATATATATATATATATATATATATGGTTTCTTTACTTAGTGGTGAGATTGTCAACGTCTAACCACTGAAATCAACTAATTATAATATCTAAAAGTTAAGCACCTAAATATTAATACATTTGGTAGTACTAAATCTCTGTTAATTATGACATGTGCATGTCTCCAAATTTCTAATGATTCACGAACATCAATGTTTTTGAGATTGAACAGTTTTGTATTAGTTTGTTCTTATACCATAGAATATTATTGCCCTTCCTCTTTTTGTTCTGCTGGTGCGGTTTCTTATACCTTTTAAACACTTCTTCATATCAAAACGTTTTATTTAACTCTTTAAAAGATCAAAAATATTTTGTCTACTATCTTTCAAAGACATATTAACTATTTACAATAAGTACGAAATATTCAAAATTCAACGTTCATATAATAAATTTAACATTGACCAAACCATTTGTAACTAAAACACCAGAATTAAGGAGCATGTAATTGATGTAGAAAATTATAATAATCCGTACCATGAAAGTAGTTCTGCTTAATTTTGACCATGAATATAAAAGCTAAGCTTTTCTTTCTTACGCTATTTCCAGGAAACTAAGAAACTCCATTAACCTAAAATAGGCTATTTTATTGTGACAGTGGAATCACAAAAACGTGGCATTTCTGTTTTTTTTCTTCTTTTTTTCAAAGAAACTGGAGCTACGAACTAGGTCCACAATTTGAAAGTGTCATTCATTTAAAATGAGGGTTGTGACATTAAAACGTTGTTGCTTTGTTTTTCAATGCACGAGCAAAAGCAGTCAAAGCGAATCAAAAGCAACAGGATTCGATTTGATAAAAGAAGAAGACCGTTAAGAATAATCAGAGCAGAAAGTTTGCAAGCGCTTCTTAAATGAATTTTTACATTTTGATCATGTGTATCTAATCTAAAAGAATTCATCAGTGTAACAATGTTAATAAATATAATATTTTAAAGTAGCTCCAATAAAATCATAGTCCTTTGAATTGTTTCTCATTCGACACCCTAATTTTTATATGAGAGACCTATTTCATGAGACGCACCGCGAAACCTTTGTGTTTCAAGGCACT